AAAACATTCTAAAATTAATTAGGCCTAACAGGTGATTAGTCAGGACAATCAAATTTGGCAAGAGACTAGAATTCTTTGTTCAGATACTTAAATATTTTTACTCATTACATTTGGAGTATTAATTTTGTCCATTTTAGACACAAAGCGAGTAAAATACTGTTTATATTGATTTCTTTTACTTTCAGCTATTTTTCTTTGCATTCTGAGAATATTATTTTTGGTTTGCAAAATTCTTCGATATACCGGGTGTTGGTTAATACTCTATGTTTATTTCATTTAATTAATGTATGATATACTGAGCTAAGATTGTCGCTTCATATTTTCATTCATAGCATTGTTATGTTTTTTAATCTGTATCATTTCATGGACTCTTCTCTTATTATAATTACTCTCTTTAATCAGTATTTTTGTGTTATCAAAATCAAAATTATGCAACTTCTGTGGTGCATGCTGTGCTGTACCATTTTCGTTATTTTTTCTTAGGCTATACTTATGTTCGTATATTATTTTCTTTAGATATTGTCCTGTTTGACCTATGAGTGTGTTATCACAATTCAAACAGTCTATTTTGCAAATTACATTAAGCGTGTCTAACTGGTCAATCCTAGGTTTAAATTTTGTCAAACATTCATTTGCTAAGGTGTTTTTAGTGTTTTCTGCTATGTTGATATTATGTGAATATGAATATATTTTTTATTTTCGCGTTAATTTCCGGAATATATGGTAATGGTATATACTTGATATCACCTTCTTTTCTTTTATTTATGTTAATGGACTGATAAATGAAACAAAAAAATGTATGTATGGAAACACAAACATTTGCATACTAACAGCAGATAAATGCAACAAAACTGTAATTGTGTTACAAAGTGAATACAAAACGAAAATGCTAGGCTTAATAAGTGATATAAAAACATATAAACCGGAAAAAAAAGATCTTACTACCAATATACAAACAAAACTAAATAAAATAACAATGGCATAAAAACAAATTTAAAACAGATAATTTAAAACGAACACTATCTTGCAACAATGGCCGAGCACCATTTATATATGGCCTACCAAAGCTTCATAAGAAAAACATTCCATTACGACCGATAATTAGGAACATAAATGCTCCAACGAACCAATTAACTAAATATCTACAACTATCCGAAATTATTTTTTGAGCCAATCGTAAAGCAAAGGATAAATAAAATATACAATTGAACTAAATGGAAAAACATAAATAAAAGAAGAGAAGGTGATATCAAGGATATATCATTACCGTATATTCCGGAAATTAACACGAAAATAAAAAATATATTCATATTCACATAATATCAACATAGCAGAAAAAACTAAAAACACCTTAGCAAATGAATGTTTGACAAAATTTAAACCTAGGATTGACCAGTTAGACACGCCTAATGTAATTTACAAAAT